AAGGCTCTTTATCATCCCATCATTTCAGCAGTGGGGCCATGAGCTAAATTATTTTCTATCCTTTTTCAAGTTCAGGAGATAAGATAAAACAAGTAAACTGATTAAGTAAGACAAATAAAAAAACTGAGAACCATCTTCATGAACCTGACATAGTTTCACAGAAAAGAATATGTTGCAGACTTGTTTTTTGTACAACAAATTAATACAGTTGTCCCTCTGAAAACATAACTTTTTCATTACAAAAACAAGCCTACAAAACATTATTGATGAATTAGTTACACTAGAACACTACAACAGCACTAAATAAAATAATCACAATTCATTTACCCATGTGAGTAAAAGTCACTGGATTTCAAAATTCAAAGACATATAAATTTAGGCAGTGTATAATAGGTACAATATGGATGTTACAATGCAAAGCTAAAAAAACATTCCCAGAGTAATCATTTTTTAAAAATCAACACTAAAAAAATGTAGTATAAATGAAAAAGTATATATGCCAGAGCTGTACATCAGGACTTAAGACCAATCAGCTCTTAGTCATCTTTAGCCAGTTCCTCAAGAGAAATAGCTCCTTAAAAGTATAATGCCCAAAAGTACTAATATAAAAAGTGCTAAGGTGCAGTTATCAGAAAGTAACCAGAAATTAAGTTCATTTATGAATATCAAGGGGCTCATCTATATAATCCAGAATTTGAATTACAGATAAACCATAGAAACACATATTGAACCTGCAACCCCTTATTCCCCCCACTCTCAGTTTTAGCATATCCTCCATTTTTCTTTCCAAATGTAAACCATGCAGCACTCTTGCCTATGTTCCTGACAAAGGAGCAACAGAAGAGTAAAAGTTAGACCATACATCCATGTTTCATTGCTCTTCCATGCTATCTGCATACGACTTATTTCACATTCCATTCGTTTTTGCCACCACAAAATAAGAGGGGTTCATGTCCAGTGTCCTCCTTGTGTTCTGGATGCTCCTAAGAGTTACAGAAATATCAGCAGTTTGGGAATAAAGCAGTTTGAGTAACTGGCCCACATCTCTCTTAAATTATGCTAATCATTCCTCAGACCTCAGTGCAGGATCATGCTATTATCATTGCCTGTAGCTGGCACATACATCGCTCTCATTCTGCTATTGTGTCTGGCTTTTTCAGAATAATGAACTAAACCCATCTAATGCCAGGAAGTAGAAGAAGAAAGCAAATAACTATTCTAATAGGAATAGCTCTGGACCCTCTCCAGCTTCCTGAAAATAATAACATGGCTTGTATCCATTACTGAAAATGGAGGTAGCAGGACTTAGGCATAACAAATTAAACATTTGAATTAATCCATTTGTAGTCTGTGTATCAGATCCTTGTATGCAATTTCCCATGCTGACAAAATGTACAGGATTTGGAAATAATTGCCTAGACTTGATCAGAAACTGGCCTTATGTTGCAAGATAACTCCTGGTGCTATACCTCAATATCCAGAATAACATTCTCTATTTTTCTCTTACTGAGTTTTTCTGGCAGCTGATGAGGAAAAAAAAGCATGAGACCAAAACTAATTCTGAAAGGCATTCTTTAAAAAAAAGGCAGGACTGATTGAAAAAGGCTCATCGTGCAGAGAAATATCTTCTAACCTTCCAAGTCTGTGACCAACCAGATGCACCTGCTGTCTCTCTCTCTCTGAAGTCCGTATTTATTCACATTTAAGTTCACAGGAATTAATAAAGCTAGACACCAGGGGAGGGCTATTTATTAGTTAGTGAGAAGGAACTGGTTTGGGTTGTTATTTTGGTTGTTAAATATTTGGGGTGGATTTAGTTGGTTAATAGCTACTTTTATGGTATTAAGAATGTGGTTGAAGGTTGCTGTAAGAAGTTGCAGTAAGGTTAGAAAAGTTATACTGAGAAAAGTGGGAGGCAGAAAACCACTAGAAAAGCCTACTGGCTTGCTGGAGAGGTTAGTTGGGTATTGTGGAGGCCTGCTGTGGCCTTTTTTCATCCCTGCCCCTTGTGGTAGCAATGGAGGCTCAGTGATTGTGAGGACTACCCTGCTGCCAGGTGGTGACATCGGGAGTAGCAGCAGTAGTAGCAGCAGTAAATCACTTAGTGTGCAGCTGCAATTATCAGCAAGGCAGGCTGGCGCTGGAGCTAGGACAAGCTAGATCAGAGCAGCACCCGGCAGAACCTTGTCTTGTGACAGATGATCTGGGTGATCCCCCTATGGACTGGAAGGCAATTGGAAGCATTCAAGGATTTTCAGTCAGCCAATGATAGTAAGAGAGGCAAAGCATAACAAGTACTCTCTATACCAGCAGGCTGTCATACAGCAACCTTGCTTAGAGTTGTGAATCCTGTTTTAGGGAGGAATGAGGAACTAAATCTCCTACTTGGTCTCTGTGACCACTCTGCACAGCCCTTTGCCCACAAAGTAACTCAGGCTTGCTTCAGACTTGACTCTTAATGGGTAGGTTGATCTTGTGATTAGAGTGATGCTTGCAAATTAACTGGGATTCAGCCTATAGGCTGAAATAAAGTGAACAGGGTGCTCTCTAGTATATTCTCCACCACCTTTAGGCTGGATCTGTGTTCCACCTGGCTCCTCCAGGGAACACTTTGGTACATGATAGACTGGATCTTGGAGATGGTTAGTGCCTCATTGTGTGAGGTGACAATTCCTGCAGCCTTGATGGAGGCTATGGTGCACTACCCCTTAAGATACCCTGTTTTAATCTAGCCACTTTGACAACTACTGCCCAGTTTCCAACCTTCTTTTCTTAGGAAAGGTTGTTGAGAGTGGTATGGAGACACCTAGAGCACCCTAGAAGCAATGGATTATCTGGATCCTTTTCAATCCAGGCTCAGATCTGGGCATGACATAATAAGAGCGCTGGTTGTGCTACTCAGTGACCTTTTTCAATACTTGGATGGGTTAATGCCTCCCCCTTCTGGTCCTACTGGGTATCTCAGCAGCATTCAATAGCATCAATCATGGTATCTTTCTTGACCTTTGTGAATGTTGAAAATAGAATCTCTGTGCTAGTTGTTCTAAATCTTCCTTAGTGGAGAGTTTCACTTGGTGACTATAGGGGAAGATATACAGGATCAGGTGCTCACACACAAAGAGTTCAGACCCCTTTCCGTTTTTCAGCTACATGAAGTCACTGAGAGAGATCATCCATTAGCTCGGAGTCTGATGATACCCAGCTTAAACCCTAAGCTGAACTGTGGAAATCTGGCTTGGAGTCCGGTGGCTATTAAAACTTGGATGAAATGAAACAGGATGACGATGAACCCAGGCAACAAGCAACATAGACCTGCTGTTTGTTCATCGAAATTTTTGGTTGGCCCAGCACTGTCCCTTAAGCAAGCAGGTTTATGAACTGGGAGGTCTTCCTGGACATATAGCTACTGCTGGATGCGTAGGTGATGACTGTGGCAGGAAGGCCTTAGATTGCTGGGCCAGTTGAGGCTTTGCCCAGAATGTGAGAACCTTACAATAACAACTCATGCCATCATCACCAGTGGCTTTTGAGTGCATCTCCAAGTGCTGATTTGGATGTATAAAGCCCCATATGCTTCCTCCAGCCAGAATCAACCAGTCCAGGATGTACATAATGGGAGAAACTCCTTATAATTCCACATATCCATGATTATGGAAGGGTGGCTGAAGTCAGGAAATAATGTTTTCATTGGCAGGCCCAAATAAAGGGAACAATCTCACTTAGATTACCCCCAATGTGATAGCCTTCCAGAAAACATTAAAAACTGAATTATTCCAGATGGCCTTTGGAGCAGATTCTAGTTTTGCTGCTTTATCACTGAGATCTGTGGACATGGTATAACTATCATGGGATTGTGGAACAGAGATTGTTTTATGACAATGAGGTGTCAGTTTGTTAGACTGTACTGTTTTAATGTTATTGTTTATCGTGGTTGTTTTAGTGTTACATTTACTGAGCATGTTTTATTGTTTGTAGAATTATGCACCATGGACATTGTAATTACTGTAAGCTGCCAAGAGTCAAATGAAATTTGCAGCATACAAATTTAATAAATAAAAACAAACAGAAATGACTTCTATCTACACAATGCAGATAGTACAACCTTAATTCTTAAAACTCTGCATTTTTAAAATTCACAATGAACTCAGAATTTGAATCAGAGGAATAAAATGGAATACATATTCAAAAATATGTATTGAAACTCATTTCAGCAGAGAGCAGCACCATTTTTAATTATATTCAGCATTTCTATACCTTTTTTTTTTAAGGAAATTAACAGAAAAAATGGTCTTAGTACAGTCCTCATGGCTTTTGTGATTTCTGTTAGGATGTTCTAATACCCAGCATCACAAAAGGTTGCACAGGCTGACTCTCCTGGAGCGTACACAGTACACTTATATAATACATTTACTACAGATCCAGAAGCTTCAGCAACACGTTGACAGGAAAAGTGTTGAAGAGGGGAAAATTTGGTTCTAGAATTGGTTCTAATCTCAATACAATGAATGAGTGGAGAAGTAAACATACTCCAGATGTAAACAGAGGATTTTATACAGGTGTTATGCAAGGGTGATGAGCCAGGCCAACGGCAACTTGAAGTAGACTTTGGTTTGCCAAGACCATTCAACAGCATCACCGTCGGAAAATGTAGCATGTTCATTCCCCACAGTATCCTTCCCTTTGGGTAAATGGATACAGAGCTTCTGCTACAAGATGCCAACTTAGTGTTCCCTAGATAAACACTACAGAACTATTTTTGTTCAAAGAACTTATCCAGTTATTAGCTTTTAGCCTATAATTAGATATCCCATGATCAACAAAAATGTGAAATAAAAGATTACGCTTTTGAGCTGAAAAAAGGCTCTGCCAACAGAGTCCCTAAAAACAAATTTGAAAGACCTTGAAAAAAGCTGTGATACAGCAAACTGAATAGCAATATTACATTTAATAAACCTATCTTATAAATGCATCCTGAAAAAATAAAGTCAAAATCACAGTAGTAAAGCATGCATATTTTAAAATGATAAAAATTAAGTTCAATACTGTACAGTTAATTACAGAATAGCATTGTGATTTACTATTTTACTTTAAAATTAGCACTCTGAAAATTAATCCCACAATTACTTTTAAAAACACCCCAAAATAATACCACTGATTTTTGTTGCTAACAGTATCTCCCAGTACATCCACTTGTCGTCATCTACAGCAACTTAAGGGACTTGCTGATGCTTCAAGGCTGCTGTCTGTGTCCGAGGCCAGAGTTGGGTCAGTGGACAGTGAAGATGCATCACAGACTGATGGGGATGAAGATGGATGTTGAGTGCCATTGATCACTGCTACACCTGTGCTATGAGAAACAAAGCATCATTTCAGTTATAGAGAGATCCCTCATTCCTCATATGAGTTTGTCCTCCTCTAGTAAGTTCTTGGTTAACTGTAATCTTGTTCATATGATCTGAGAAAATAACTGCATAATTTGGTTCAGCCCTGTCCTAAGAGGTATCTTCAGAGCTTGTTTGATGTAGTGGTTAAAGGCACCAGACTAGAAACCAGAAGTCCATGAGTTCTAGCCCTGGTGCCTTTAACCACAAAGCCAGCTGGGTGTCTTTGGGCCACTTCCTTTCTCTCAGCCCTAGTGTAATGGTATGTGAAAGACCTTGGGAGACTCGGCAAAGAGACGCTGCCAAGGAACGGTCAGATAAGAGACAGCATAGCCGGCAAATGGATAGTGAGTGGGGCAAGAGGCTCAGAAGAGACCCTCCCCAGTTTCTTGGGCTGTAAAGGAGACAGAGGGGACAATTGTACTTTCAGGTTTGCAAGATTAATGTCAGTCTCGCAGTGTAAACATTGACAGAATCTTGTTATTTACACATACAAAATAACGTGTAACTGTCTACATGAATGAGAGCAGGCATAATCTCAGCATTCAGACAGACATTTCCCACATTGCAACACTGTATGTATGAACTAAGAATGGATAAAACAGCCTTTTTTTTTCCTTATATGCGGCATTAACCAAAGAACACATATAGCAACCAACCTAAAGGAGATGGCTGTCCACGTATGACTCCATTCTTGGTCCTCTCCTCCAGGTCCACAACTTCCTTGTAAATCAGTTCTGTAAGTTATTAGGTGTAGTGTTATCTATAAAGTATTTCAAGCAAGCTAGAGAAGAGTTTCATCTGTAAAAAGAGATCTATGATTATATTTCCTGCTTTAATCCCATTCACTCAAGTTGTTACTCAATTTTTAAAGTAGATCAGAATTGAAGCATGAAGCATATGCATTGTTTGACTTGTCTGTTATATTCCTTTGTGGCTTGCTGTTATAAAAATAATTACCACAAAGTCAAACAATGCATATGCTTCATGCTTCAATTCTATTCTACTTTAAAAATTGAGTAACAAATGAGTGGGATTGAAGTAGGAAATATTTGACACATACATTCTGCCTGTGAAACAAAAGGTGCTGGCACTAACATGCAGAACATGAAAATTAGTATTTTTTTAGACTTTTTACAATTATATGGATTAATGTTTCAGTCCAAGATAGTTTTCCACCAAGCACCTACAGAATTTCATTTAAGAATGTCAACACGTTCACAAAGAAAAGCATACTGAAGACCATTACACTCCAGCCACTATGGACAATGCTTATTTTTTAAACGCTTCTAGGGCAACCATTCCCCAACCATATGATTTATAATAGCTGGTTTCATTTTCCCAATCTTTCAGGCACACATTTAGATCTTGGATTTCTGTAACTGGCACTTAGAATTTATTACTAAAAACAGTATGTTATCAATAATCACCTGAAGAGTTCTCTAGCTTTTCAAAAATACACTGGGCTAAAGATCTAAATCCATCAGATGAAATTCAAATGTATTTCCAGTAACACAATCAGACAGAACAATTCTCTTTCTCTGCAGCCCTTACACACTCTCAAAAGTTGCTCTGGAGGCTCCTCCAAACACCAGAGAAGGCTCTGAAGAAGCAAAGGAAGGCTTGGAGAAAAGATGGCAGGACAGTTCTGTTGCACAAACCAAAGTCTGCTCTTGATTTTGGATTTCTACTTGGACCCTCAGAAATGTTTATTATATAATACTGACATAATTTCAACCAGTGTCTTCAGGTACATGTTTCCAAGGGTTGCACTACTATTAACTTGAAAGAACAATGTAACAGCCAAGGCACAAGGTCTCAAAGGAGGAGGACTTAGACCAGTGATGGTGAACCTATGACACGTGTGTCAAAGGTGACACGCCATGATGTTTTGGATGGCATTCCAGCATTCACCAACACTCGACAATAACTATTCTCCCTGTTTGAGTTACCAAAGCAACTGAGTTTATTTTACTCATATCTCATTTTTGTAATTATTTGACATTTCTTTATATAATACACCACACGATTGGACTGTATTTTTCTTTAAATAAATGAATATGTAAAGAATTGTTTCTCTTTTGTTGGGGGGGAGGGTGACACACCAGCAGAGTCAAGTTAGGCATTTTCTGAATTTTTAACACGCTGAGTTCCATTACCGACTTAGACCCTTTATAAATGTGTATCAGCAGATATGAAGGGTTAATAATAGACTCCTCATGTAGCTAGTCCAGTTAAAGTCTTTACAAGATTCCATGGAGAATTTTTTGTCAATCAGAACATTCAAATGGGATAAAGCACTTCCTACATCCTTTTCTTTTCTTCTCATTTTTTCCCTGGATTTTGCCTCCATTTCTCCCATTTTTCCTATCTGTTTCTCCTACTTATTTTGCAATATAGGAAGTTGATCTGGCAACACTTGTTTCATATCGTTTTCAAAAAAAGGGGTGGTTATTACTGTTATTCAGGACTTTGGGTCATAAATAACATTATTATGATTGACTTATATTCCATCTTTCTTCCAAAACTCACTCTGTCCAGATAGCAGGGAAGCAGGCATACGTTCCCTCCAATGTGGACTGCCACAGAGTGAAAAGCCAGGGCCTTCCCACTAATAGCAATGACATTACAGGACATCTGGCTTTTCCTTCTCCTTTGTGGTACCACCCTTCCCAACCCTGTAGTAGCAGAACTTCCAACCAGCCAGCCTCTCCACCACTGTCACTGCTGCCTCTATCTTGGTCACTGGTTTGTCTATGTTTAAAACTGCACAATTCAGTGCTCCTAGCACTTCTTCCTCAGCATCTCTACTGGCATCCAACTCAGAGTGAACCAAAGCTTTCACTGAACATGGAAAACGTACATCTCACCTTTCCATTCTTCTATTGTATGTTCTCTTTCATCTAACTGTTTGTCTGGTATCTTTGGAGGAGGCTGGAAACAGAAGAAAGGAACAACTCAGCAAAAGGAACCAATCTGAATGAAACAACAGATATGCCCAGTTTAATTACAGGCATGCAGTAAGCCTAGCTTAATAATTTCCTTAAGTGACAGGCACAACACTCACTTAACAACCACAATACGGACCAGAAAATTGGTCGTTAAGCAGGGCAGTCATTAAGCGAGTCACCACATGACTGGACCCAATTTTACAACCATTTTTATGAGTCATTAAATGAATTGCCATGGTCATTAAGTGAATCATATGGCCATCAAGTGAATCCGGCTTCCCCAATGGACATTTTTTGCTGGAATTTGCTTCACAATCACATGATTTGTTAATGACTGCGGTGATTCATTTAATGACTGTTGTAAAAAAGGTAGCAAATCGTGATCAAGTGACCGAGGGAGGTGGTGTGATGGTTTGCAACGATCATAACTGTGAGTATAGGTCATAAAGCACTATTTCCAAGGCAACTGTAATTTCAAACTGTTGTTAAATGGATTACCTATACTGTGCCATACAATGAGCAACCATTTAAAATTAAAAAAGGGCTAAAACATTGCAAGGTTTTTTTCTTTCTTTTTTTTTAGCAAGCACATAAGATTTGGCTCTTTTACAAGATTTATGGTATGTATTCATATATGTAGCTTCTGAGTGGTCTTCAAGGGCAGCTCCATGTAGAGTGAGGTCACCATACACCATGCTTGCAATGAGTTCTGCATGGGTCTGCCCTTGAAAACCATCAGTAGCTGTAGCTACTCCAGAATGTGGTGGCACAGGTATTTATGGGAATATCATGGTATGCTCATGTAACACCTCTGCTGTGTATCTGCACTGGTCACCTATAGGCTTCTGGATGCAATTCAAGGTACTGCTTACCACCTATAAAGGCCTTCATGGCATAGGACCTAGTTATCTGAAGGACTATTTGTCTTCTGTAATTTCTGCCTATCCTGTACTATACAACAAAGCTGGCATGGATCCAAGTCCCACTGATGTTATCTGATGGGACCTAGGAAGAAGGCCTTCTCTGTTGTAGCATCTGCCCTCTGGAATGATATCTCCCAGAGATTTGTATGGCCCCTATGCTGACATTATTCAAACAAGCCCTTAAAACCTGATTCTTTTCCCAAGTCTTGAGCTACAGCAGAGGTGGAGGACCCAGTGTGGAAACAGCTGGTTAGAATTTGTGTTATTTTCCCAGACTTCTGCTTTTTGTATTGATTTGGTTTTTTTTTAATTTATACAGAGTTGTGATGGAATTGGGCAGCTTATAAATTTGATAAACAAATAGATTTTAAATTTGCTTGCAAAAATAGGCAAGTCACAAGCACCATGTTGTTGATCCCCACACGAGAATTTTAGTGCATTAGTGTGGATGAGTTTGCCTCTATGGAATGGCATAACTTGATGTAGAGGTGGTTCGGCATGGAATGCTAAGCTACTATTCCACTGCTAATTTTCTGAGTTTACAATATGGTACATGGTATCGTAGCTAAATTCAGAAACTCACTGAGCTAGACAAATATATTTAGCATATAGACCACCAAGAGCCAGTATGTAACTGGTTTTGTCCTATATTGAACTTGTCAAATTATGTAGACTATATAGCCCCAATATGAAACCAGTCACACATTGTCTCTTGGCACTATGCAACTGCATAAAAATAAATTCTGACCCCCCCCCCCACGATTTACAGCAAAGTTACAGTTTAACCTAAGTTTCTTGAACTCCTATTTAGCACTGAAGAACAAGGTGCACACTGGGAGCACCTCTAGCTTCAGTTATTATAATCTGCCTTCCACTTTTATCTCAAGTATAGTTTCCTATATAAAGTTTAGATTCCAAAGTGTAGAACTTACAGCTTCAGCTTCTGAGGGATCATACCAGACGTTAATGTAAGGGTGCTGCAGAGCTTCATCTACTGAAATTCTTTTTGAGGCATCGATCACCAGCATTTTTGACAACAAATCTCTTGCCTGACTAGCTGCAAGAGCAATGTTTAATACAGAATATATTTAAACATTCTGGAAAGTGATATATAAAGTAGGAAAAAAACAAACTGATTACATTGCTCAGTAGGAACCGCAGCCCAATTAGTCATTTCTTATGGCTGGCTTAAGGCTGATGTAGACAGAGAAGAGGTCAGCCAGCCTCCAGAGACAACGATGAGCACAACATTTGATCAACTCCTGGAGTCATCCAGGGGAGAGGGAGAAAGAGATGAATCCCACCCCTGTTCAAAGTTGGTTAAAAAAAACTGGGAGCTGGACTCTGCTCTTGTTGGGTGCACAACATCAAAAGTATCCTCTGCCTTGCTTCTGAGCTGGAGAGAAAGACAAAGACACTGAGCTGCTCTTTCTTCCTGTCTCTGTGCCTGCTACCAAGGCTCAGGACCAGGAGAGCCAAAAGAAGCTTCCCCTCTCCCCCAAGTTCAGGCAGAATTTCCCATCACTGAACATCAATAAGAACTGAGGTCTGTACAAATGTTCCAGGTGTATATCAAGACTAAGACCAAGCCCATATCATGGGGGGGACATGGTCCTGAAGACCTACAATTTTTGACTGGTTACCAACTTCTGCTAATAAGACTATAAATAATAAAAATGAACATTATTAAAGATGCAAGACACACAGTATTTGCCTATTCCATAAACTGTTAGCAAAACCATATAGTTAGTAAAATTAAAGGGGGAAACTGAAATTTGAACTTACCATGAAGAATCCTTCTTGGTCAGCAGAGTGTGGACCTGATAGGACAGGAAAGAATTAACTCCTCTCCTCCTCAAGAAAGCAGGGCCAACAACAGAACTTAGCTCCACCCCAAGAGGAGGAAACTGCTCGGTCAAAGAACTTGATTTCAACTGTAATAAACTACCACAAAAAGCCTCACAATCAAAGCTAGGACTGATAGGATTTATGACTGGCTAGCTTCAAGGGAACCTCTCTAATTCCCTCCCACTTTGAGCAACCAAACACCCTTTGCTCCAAAGAGTGAGGGATTCATGGGTCCACTTAGCATTAAGCCAATATTCTGTTCTTGATCAGTGGAGAAGTGGAGCTGATAGGAAAGATGTTCTAAAACAGTTTTCTACTTGGCAAAGTCCCTATGGTCCCCGAAAGCAGCACCACTCAAAGCATGTTTTCAATCAAGGCTTCATAAAAGCATGTCTCCAAATATACCTGGTACATCAAGCTCACCAAGACTGGATGTTCTGTCTTGCTATGAATCCAACATTTTATGCTGGGATCTTTCATTTATTTGCTATGTTTTCAGGCTAAGATTGCAGTGGGAAAGAGGCCCCAGAGTGTGCATTTGGTTTCTCATTGGCGAAGTTATGAAGGCTATGTGCTGAAAAAATGTGATCAGGAAACTGAAGGTCTTGGGCAGAGGACAATGGCAAAGGAAGAAGCTGTACAGGAAGAAGTAAAACAGTATCAATCTGATCTAAAGCCTATGGAAGCAAGCACCATGTTCCATGGACCTGTCCTGAGTTCCAGGAGGTTGATCCCAAGAATTGGATCATGGGCAAGAAAGAAACTATTGGGTATAAGAGGATCTGGATGCATACAATAAAAATCGGGTGACTGGAAAAGGAATGCTTTCAGCAAATTCTAAAAAGAAGCAAGAGAGGCCTATCAAAAGTCTTACGTTAGAGAGGAACTGGGAGAAGAATGTACTTGTAAACTGCCATCTAAGGTAGAAAGAGATAGCTTTCTTCAGTCTAAGCATGTTTACATATATTTCTGCTTAGCATTAATCATCTTCTAAAAGTGGAGCAGTAAGAATAGACTAGGCAGTTGATAAAAAATTAAATTCATTTTATTTTTTCTATCCTTTCTAGTATTGATGAAACCATGAGTTAGACGCAAACATGTCATGCAGGTGTAATCTTATATCATTTTTGCTAAAAAGATAAATGCTATTTTGAGATGTATTAACATCCTATAGAGGCAATTATCGCACTCCGCTGTGGTCAGGTCCCATCTAGAATATTGTGTCCAGTTTTGGTCACTGCAATCAAAAAAGCATATCAACGAACTGGAGCAAATTCAGAGAACTATCAAGATGGTGAGGGGACTGGAAACTAACTCCTATGTGGAACAGTTAAACGAACTAGGTATATTTAGCCTGCAAAAGAGAAAACTGATAGAGGCTGTCAGGTATTTTAAGGGTTGTCATTTAGAGGAGGGAGTGCACTTGTTCTCTCTTGTCCCAGAAGGTAGGACCAGAGCCAGTGAGCTGAAATCCAGGGAAATAGATTCAGTTACAATATTAAGAGGAATTTGTGATGATAAGAGCAGTTAACCAGTTGAATAGGTTACTTCATGATGTGCTATCCCCCTCTTCATCTACCTGAAATGCTTCAGAAGATTCTGTACTGCGCTGAGGATTGGATTAAATTACTTCTGAGGTTTCTTCCATCTCTGTAATTTTATGAGCCATTAATATGTAACAAATTTTTAACTCAAATGTAAGCATATAATCATTTACATATAGCCCCCACAAAAGGTTACAGTAGCTAGCAGAAAACCATTCTGCATATCTCATGGCAGCAAGAAATCACTGCCCCTTACACCTAAAAAAGCCTTACAGAATATTAGAATGTCACTCCCCACTATGGGGACACTGAAAATGACATTAAATTGCCATACCTCACCCTGCCTCCCACTCCCATTTAGTCTTGCTGCTTGATGTTAAGTAAGCTGAGGAAGAGTCTAGGAAAAGGAAGCACTGTGTAAGGAAGTAAACACCTGGAAAACACTCCAAGATATTCCTGTGTTTTGTCGTCTTACAATGGTAAGAATTAAAGATGCGCTAAGCTGAAGGAACTGCACAGCCTTCCTTAACAAGACCAGGTACCTTTCAGTTTTAAGCTGCCTGCACTCTGATGGTGAAACACTGTCAAGCAGTTGACTCTCCTCCTTGCTTGATCCCTCAATAAACTGTTCTTCACAGGCACTCAGAATGAATGGAACACTGTTCTTGTAATCCCCCAAGACTGCTGGGGAGCTAGATGATGAATGAGAGGATGGCTCCTAACATACTTTTTTCCTCTTCTGAATTCCACTGAGCACTAAAATACATCTTATGAGGATGGTCTGGAGGATCATCTATACTTCTTAGATTTCCTTTTAGACTACCACCCTGGTTGGTGGCAGTGAAGCCAGACTTTTTTTTCATATCCACCAGAAAGTGGGGAGGGGGGAAGTAGAAGGAAAAGCAGTAATTCCATGAGTGTAAGAGCTAAACCTCAATAATATTATGATGATGATGATGATGATGATGATGATGATGATGATGATGATGATAAAACTTGTATGCTGCCCAACTCTCAATAGCAACCCACCCTTCTCTTTTACCTGGCAGGACTTTGCACACCAGCATCAAAAAACTGCTGCAAGAAGTATGCCTTGCCTCTGCTGATGGAAGAAACCCTTTAAAAATCTACCTGTTGATATAGGAAAGGAGACCAAGAGAGTGGTATAGAATGGCAGCTTAGCCAACTCCTCCATGTGAAGCCAACATGGCATTAGCAGCTTCACTGACTGTACCATCTCACTTCCCATGCACATGATCTAAACTGATCTTTCTATTGCTGTCCAGATCCCCTGTATGTCAATATGGGCTTGCAAGCCAACAAAAAGCCAGAAGCTCACTCGGTTGATTCTTCTGTTGCTAAGGAATAACAAGAAATACCTCTAACCCTAACCCATACGTGACATGAGCAATAAAGATAGATATATGGCTTTTTTGTGGCAGCCATTCCAAAGAAACTAAGAAAAACCCTGCACTCTTCACACAGGTAGAGTGAATTTCTTTTCTAAAGGTAGGTTTCTTCTTTTCTAAAGTGGTACATTGTTGGCTCTGCCTTCCCAGGCAAGATAAGACAATCCTTTCTTGTCCTGTCAACTCAGCACCTTCACTGACCAAGAAGCATGTATTTGCCACAATCTACAAAAATTGAAACATGAAAAAGCCCATTATAATCAATGTTCTTCTAGAGCATCTAATTCTGCACTGCACCAGAGTCTATCTACTCAGTGCAAAGGAAAAGAAAATGTACTTGCTTTCTGTTACTGAAACTAAAATACGAAGTTTCTAATGAGATACTATAATTGGGATTCTATTATTTTCACTGCCTAATTTCTATAGGATATGAAAAGTACAATTGTACCACCACCGTTATTTTCAGGCGATTTATAAGCTCTTCTCCAAATTGGAAATGATAGCTTGGTGACGTATCAGTTGACCTATGCAACAGGAAGTCAGAAGTAACTTCTTACAGGTTAAATGCTATACTCAGATATGTATAATTTGACAGGGTTCAGTGCAATCAGGAGGAAGATTTTTGTTCCTTCAGCTTTACAACTACCTTCCATAATGGCCTTCAGGTACTATATTAACTTTGCTATGGTTCCCTTAAACTGCTGTATGCTGCCAGAGGTGGGTTTCTGCCTAGAAGGCCTGGGATGTCTTCTTATTGCTCAAAGCCCCATCTTTTGCCAAAGCCCAGCCCTTGTCTGCATGCAGAAAAAGACAAGATGCAATCTCTCTGTAGAGAACTGGGTCTCTCTTTCTGACAAGAATGGGCAGTCTCTGAAAACTGGCTTCATAAAACAGTGCTTCACCACTGTCCCAGCCCTTTGATGCAGCAGCTCCCTAGCAGATATTTTGCTACCCCCGGCCTATCTCAAAGTAAGGACCAGCTCTTTGTTGAACAGATTTTGCTTCTCAAATGGAAGGAGGAGAAATGTAAAATCCCATGGAACAACATGAAAAGGCTTCACTTGAGCCTTAGGGAACTGAAAGAGTGGCCTGATAGGCTAATTTCTACCTCTTGTTCTGCTGGCTGTTACATGGTCAAGGGGAGAACACATTAATTGGCCGGGATGATTTTTGGCATTCATGATATGAACAAAATACAGAAATCTCCTTCAGCAAAGTATAACAGACCACCAGTGTTCTAATTAGATACATACTTCTGGCATATTTGTAGTGAGATGTAATAGTAAGATAATGTGAACACAAGGAAAGTAGTGTTTTGTTTTTTATAACCAAGAAGCCCTTTTGCCTTTCAGTATGAAACTCTGCTATTGCACAAAACAGATAAAATTGGGGAGTGGGGAAGCCACTTGAAAATAGTCACATAAAACAGACCAGATTTCAGACATTTCAGTGGGCAACTTATTTATAGGTATTAAAATGAGATTACAAGGTAGTCGCTATCACAGTGCTAACAAAAACTAAATTCTACCTATAGGAGTTTGCAATCCAATACATGTTTTACTTTTATTACTCCTAAAACAAAACTTCAACATTTACAGGAGAAAAATTCAATGGTATCTTACCTTTCAGTTTGTTGTGGTCAGAATCAACTGGAAAGAGAACATCTGGAAAGAGTTTTTCAAAACTATAGCCAGCATATTTAGGCCTATTCTCCACATATGTCCTCACTGTTGGTTGTAGCTTCTTCATAAATTCAGGGCACGGTGTCCCTAGTTGTTCAATAACTTTATTCCACTGATCAATATCTGAAATCACGAAGCTAAGAAAAACTATGCATCTGGTGTTCAAAACAAAGGTTATGTTAAAACTACCAATTGTTCAGAATAATTGGTTAGAAGAGCAAGGAAAAAGAATTTTAGAGTTCCGCAGCAATTCCACTCTAGTTTTGCTGGTCTGCAAGAACATATCATCTCAACAAAAGCTGAGTAAAGTCATGTCTGGGATATAGAGACTTACAAGAGTGATATGTGAGCAACTCAAAGCTTAACATAAATGCTTGCAATAGGAAAATAAGAAACTCATCCATTCCTCACGCATACAAACTATAAGGTGGCTTCCCATTTTAATTCAATCAAAATAACAAAAAATTGTGGACAAGAGAGAAGTTGTGCCTTTATTAAAACTGTCTGTGCCATTTTTTTTTTAAATCTAATCTTAATTAAAGATGTTGGCAAATTGAGCCGTCTCACTCAAAGTGTAAGTTTTTCTAGTTTGTTGTGCTCAGATATATTTAAAAACAAGGGGTCCAGAATGTTGACAGTACCTGGGTGATCAGGTTTGGGTTGGCCAGAGAACTTGGAAGATTTCAACCAAAACATTCTGTGTCATAAGCAGGAGGTATTCCTATGAATAAATCTGATGTTAAAAACTGGCACTTTGGTTTGCAGCATAACAATTTCTCATGAAGAGTGGAAGGCGTGCATGTACTATATTGCTTATTCTTGGAAGAGGACATACCAACCTAGAAATTCAAGATTAGATTTCAATTTGCCTTCCATACTTTATACAACTTAACCATGCCTTTATAAAATTCCCAACCAAAACATTTAACAATTATCTGAAAGATACTTCTACTGATGTTAATTTAATGTACAGTATCTTCCCTCTCTATATATAAAATTTGTCATCTTCCCTTAGCCAAGACGTATTTTAGGAAAGTAAGATAAATGTCCCTTATTACACTATACAATACTCTGTAGAAGATTATGAGATTTACTGTACAAAATGCAAGGTGAAGTGTCTTTGTTGAATGAGAAGAAATCACATAAACTTCTCATACCTATTGCCAAGATTAGTAGACTCTGGCTCTAATTTGTAAAGTGGTAGTATATATCTGATGTGTCCAATCAAATTTTATCAACTTTTCCACATTTCAGTTTGAGCCGAATAGCCTTCTGGAGTAGAGAGATAGTCATTTAGTTTGTAACCCCAACATTTAGAGGTGAATATTAAAATAAATGCATCTGTTATTAAAAACAGTTATTAAAATGGCTGGTAAAAGGTATGCTGAACAATCAGGGAGAATAAAACCCAGAGTGAAGCATCTGAACCTGGAGGCACCTTGGGCAAGGTGACACCCAGACTACAGCAATCTCCAGCTCTAAATATGAGGAACAGTCCCCTATACTTGGAAGAGTAACTATCAAAACTGTTCACACATAGAATGTTAGCAGAATGTTAGGTAACAGCGTTATAAGAACAGAAAGCTAAATAAATGTAAGCTTGGATAGAATGCAAAGAAGTGAAGACAAAAATTATGCTGAGGGAATAAAAATAAATTTCTCTGTAATTCCACCACCAATGGTGTTTAAGGTCAAATTCACACAATAAGCCAAGATATTCTTGGCTAACTGAATTCTTAATAAGACAATTCTTCTTATATACTGAACCATATGAAAAATATTTGTCAATAAAATCTATCAGACCATTAAAATATCTAATGCTCTTGAGGGTGGTAAAACATAATGTTTATGCTAAAAAAGAAAAATGATAGAGTACATCTGTCCAGATTTCTGTTCAAGGCCACAGTAAGGATACGGTCTGTGCCAGGAAATAACACACCACCTTTGATCATTTCTCCCATGATGCACCCCACTGACCAAATGTCAACTGAAATTAAAATGCAATGACATTAACTGAGTGAAAGGAAATAAAAAGGGAGATTAAAAAGGAAACACACAAACAAAACAGCCAGTGATAATAAAGAGTGAGGCAGGATGAACATGAATGGATAAAAATGTGCTACCATACCAGTGGAGACTATTTCCTACTGCTAGATGCAGCCTCAACAGAATCAAATTCTAATTTTTATGTTTATCGGAAATAAATATTAGGGTTTTAAGGAATAAACACTGTGTCAAACTCATATCCCAAGAAGGAACATTAAAAAAAAAATAGGAGGAGGGAGAGAAGAAAGCTACCAGAAGAGATTAATTACCAAAAATTCATCACGCTGCAGAAGCACAAGGATACAGTCCCTTCCTGGAAAGAGGATTTTGTGGCAAACCATTTCTCCCATAATGCACCCAACAGACCATAAATCCACTATGTTTGTAGCACAAAAAGAAGAAGCAAAGCAAATTGTCACTGAAAATTAAAAGAAGCAGCAGGACATGACTGCATCTTACGGCAAAGAAAGCATTAACAAACGGGAAAAGTAACTATGAGATCAAGGTATGAATGCATTTTCAGAACATATATATGACTCCTACTGTAAAAATATCTTCTGTGCAAGAAAAACAGAAGGAGAGACTGTTACAAGATAACATATTCTTGCACTGATCCTTTTTCAATAAGATTTGCACAGGGTACATCTCTTTTAGAATAAATCCTAACACTTTAAGAATTCTTTCATTATAATCTAGCTCAAATAAAAGATATATAGTAAGAAACTGAATTATTTAACAAAGCTGATACAGAAGAAGCACAAACTTATTTTATTAGTAATGACAATCAATAATAGGCTGCATGAGAATTAATAAACTAGAACTTAGTGTCAAAAAATTGAGATTCCATGAGGGCAAGTGATCAGTCTTTTCAAAGAGGTGGCAGTGTGGATATGTTGCACCTCCCTGTTATAGGTGTATTTTTGGATCCAGTCTTGCAATTGGAAGCATGGGTGGTACCTTCCACAATATTAGGCTCTCCTGGTCTCATCAGATGGCACACCTGGCTATATCTGGGCTCAGGAGCTAAGCTGGGTCAGGTCAGGTTAGTACTTAAATGGGAGCCCTCCAGGAAATTCCAGGGCTGATGTGGGAAGTCAGAAAACATCCTGGAAGGAAGCAATAATTAACCACTTCCATAATGTGCCAAGAAAACCACATGCCTATGTCCAGAAACTGAGTTGAAAGAGACTTGGCCTTTATTTTTCTTGCACTGAGATGAGCTACAATTATCCATGCTGTGGTAATACATGGCTTTGTTAGATGTTCCTGTTCAGAAGACTGTTCAAAATTGCTCTTTGGTTAAAACACAGATGTCTGATTGTTCATGGGAAGAGTTTGAACAATTGCCTCTAGAATTTTAAAGGGAGATTGCTGAGTCAAGCTTAGCTCCTAGAGTCCATGCAACTTTCTTGGCAACAGTACCAAAAGTTTGCCATTTCCTTCTTCAACTTTCTGATCTAGCCTCCAGTCCTGAGAACTCCTAGTATACTAACCAGATCCCTCCTTAGCTTTTTGGGGAATCAGTCAAGGACACCCAGATGCCATCTACAGCTGAAACTATTCAGCTGAGCACAGGAGGGCATAGCAAGGACAATGCAATCAAAGACATCCTTCTTGGTCATGGTACCTGTTTATACAATTCCCTGAACAGAAATCCTTTTGGTATTAGAAAAATGTTTCTTTACTCCAGGCTTTTTAATGTATTGTTCTAATATGTTATAACTTATCTATTAGAAGTATTCCTACACTGCATTTCATCAATACAAAATCCCTTTTAGTAAAGTACAAAAAGTAAAACTGCAGAAAAACAAGATGAAAGCAAACCATTAGAGAACGCCAAGGGGACCTACAGTCTTCCAATGCTATTCTCTGTAATCTGTTTTGTGTAACAGTGGCCACAGTCCTCAATTTGTGGAGTTGATCAAGGACTATACTGCAGTGAGTGTTATCAAAATCAGCTTAGAGATCAAGGAACAGCTGTAAGAATGGCAGCACTTAATCATGGAGAAGATGACCAAGTTGATTTTCAAAGTATTTTACAAGTTTATTACATCATTTCTCTATGGATTGTAAAAGCATGATTAGCAGGGTAGATCATAATAACCCCCAGAACTATTCAAAAGAGCTCCACTGGATGCCTATAATGACAATAAGTAAGCCTACTTGACTATCCTCATTGCTAAGCAATAGTCAAGACCACGTGGTCTAATAAGTGCCTGGTCAACTATGTAATGAGTCTTCTGCCACTGACACCTTAGCCATTCCCTTTTTCTTTCTCTTGGCAAATATAGGTATTTAAATCTGTTTTAGAAACTAACTTGAACATTTTGCTTTCAAGAGTATGGTATAAATCATAAATAAAATCCTAAAGTCTTGTTTAAAATAAATATATTGCACAGATATTATAAAGTATCTGTAATTTCTTCTTCTAGGGACTTAAATTGATATTTAAAACGTATTACACAGTTTATATGTAGTAAATATAAGATGAATGTATATATAAATATCAATTTGAATTGGACATATGTGTGTGTGTGTGTGTGTGTGTGTGTAAAAATAGCATTAAAAATGGCATTATTCACCTAGAATGTGAAGCAAAACAGTCCTTCCTAATATCAGGTATCAAAGTTTCTAATAAACTAGACAGATCATCGTGCCAGAGAAGCTTAGCATTGTGCAATAATTCATCCGTTTTGAAGCTTGCCTCCAACACTGTCTGTTAACAATGTGAATTGCACTCAGCTCCACCATAAATATATCCTTTAATGAGCCCTAGTATAAATTAAACTCATATAAGGCAGCAGAATACCTTCCTTGAAATTCAAGAGGATTATTTTTAGGCACCTTCTACCCATTCTTGCCACATTGCAGTTTTCAACCAATAACAATGGTTCTGTGTCAAAAGTAATTTTTTGTAGCTATGCTGTCTACAGCAGTGAAAGCTCAAAGGCAGCACGTGAAATAAAAAGTCCCCTTGTATGTACATACTGTGTAATGGGCCAATAAAATAATTGATATAATAGTTTTCTTCTATCCTTGTTTCAAAATATACAAGGCAATATTTACTAGGGCTAACCCTATCCTAACCTGCCCAATAAAGCAAGCAGGAGCAGCAGTTGACCTGCTCACTCTCCTCAGTAGTAACATGGAAATCTGAAGAAACACGGCCTCTGCCTGCTTGCTTGCCATTATCTGTGAGGGTAGCACAGTGGGAATAGGAGAATCCAGCAAGGCAAGCTGATTAACCCAGCTATAACTGGGGATTGAGCCCACTGATTCCAGTTACTACAATCTGTATTCTGACCTGTAATAAAGTATTTATTTACTTACTACAAGCCCAGAGGGAAAGGAAGTTGAGCAAGTGCTTAGGAAAGAACTGAATGTGGACAATGGTGGACAGCCCCATTGGGCCCAATCTCCCAGCCTCAGAAGAAGATGGCTAAGGACAAGTTTGTCCAATCCTTTTTTACATAAGCACCACAGGGAGGATGCAGAAAAGCTAGTGGAGGTAGCAACTACTTCTTGTAGGAGTAGCTGATATCTCATATCTCTCAGAAGCACAACAAAAATAAATGGACAAATGACTGATGCTTCTGCTCTTTCTTTCCGAGAGATTTCATATGCCAGCTTCCAATAAGCGAAGTCAATGGGGAAGCCGGCAGGAGGTCACAAGTCATAGTCACATGACATTATACTTAATGACGTTGCGGGATTCGCTTAAGGACGGCAACTGGAAGTGCCAGAACGCCTGTCGCTAAGCAGCATGGTCATGTGTCATCGTGCTTTATGACTGCATCACTTAGTGACGGAAATTCCAGTCCCAATTGCTGTCGTTAACCTGTTAAGCCTAATTTTAATCACTTTATAAAACTAGAAATTATTTTTCACAGTAGAAGAACACACAAGAAACTTCTAACTAAGCACTGTCCCAACACCATCAACATAACATTTCCTAAGGTGTTTCCTGCTGGGGTTGTGAAATGTTAATTCAAAAACCCTGAGGAGGAAAGAGGATTCATTCCTACCTCGTGGAGAGCCATGAGGAGAAAAGAAGAAAATGAGGGAAACTGGAAAAAAGGCAGGCTCCAAGTCCCTCCCACACAAAGCAGCAAAGCTAGGCCACAGCAAAGCCACCCCTCCCTTTGTGCTCGTGTGAAACAGGCTTGGTTGAAACCCCATATTTTCCAACATTTCCAACACAAAACACTGATTAAACATACAGCACATTTTGATAACGGCATTAAGTTTCAACAGCTGAATAAAATATAAAATAAGGCACATGAAAGGATGGGGAGGGACCCAGGGAATGGAGATATAAAACACACTTTTTAGGAACAAAAATGAAAAACTGCTAACCATTTTCTTTGTATCCCATTCCAAGAATGACTTCTGGTGCTCTGTAGTAACGAGTGACTACATAAGGTGTCATCATAAAGCTGGTTCCAGCTGTTCTAGCCAGCCCAAAATCAAGAATCTTCAAAGTGCAGTCAGATTTCACTACTATATTGCTAGGTTTTAAATCCTTTGAAGATAAAGATATGAAATATGAGACCTCCAAGGAGTATCAAGCAGGGTACAAAAAGCTTTTAAGAAATTGACTCAACAATTATGACTTCATTCAGCAACATCTGTGAAAATACCTCCCCATACTCCTCTTTAATAACTTCTGTAAATTATTACACATATTCATCTATTAGCTCTCGGAGGGAAAGTACTAGGATGTCACAGCTCTGTAATTTACAAGAAGGGCCACTGTTGGCACTGCTGAAAGTTGACAAGATGTAAAACCATTTACATTAAGTTCATTTTATTAGGGCATGGGGATTAGTAATGAAACCAGTTGCGAAGCATGGTTTCATGTCTTTTTCTGCAGTTGTCCTTTCCTACTGTCCAGGAAATAAATTCAACACTGTCCATTTGAATTAACCGTAGAAATTATCCTGGTAATTTTCTGCCTTTTTTCCAGGACCTTTTTCATATTTCCCCATCTAGTCCACAGCCCTAGTATTTCCTGAGGCCTCTCATCCAAATGCTTAATCAGATAAAACCCTGCTTAGCTTCTCCAAAGGTAGCTCTGATTGGCTACATGTCCCCTCCTTCTGGGAATCGCACAAACAGTAGAATTCCTGGACATTTCATACAGAAGACACATTTAAAGAAATGCAATTCAATAGATCATAAAAGATCAATAAAGGAATTCATTTTTTTAAAAAAAGAAAAGATTGCTTATCGTCACATGCCAGTGTAAACATCATGTAGCACTGGAAATATTTTTATTATCAAATCTGATGATGAAAGCAGCATCATGCTGTAAGCACTGCCCTTTTCCACATGCATGTGATAGAACGATAGACACAAAGAAGGCCAAAACCTTTTGTCCCAAGGTCAGGATTTGGCACTCAAAATGCCCTCCCCCCCCCCGCATTATTTTGCATACCCTGAACAGAGTCCCATTGCAAGGAATTCTGTTTTAATTGTAATACAGGTATATCCTCTGTATTCCATACTTACCTGTTTTACAGATAATTATTTTATTGCTGATTGTTTTTATTATTCGATTGTTCTCTAAGCTTCTCTGGCAGGAAATATTGGTGTTTTGGTTTTGATTCTTTTCTAATGCTTTTTCATAGCAGAGCCATGCTGAGTTGATGTTTTCACTAGGCTTCCATTTCAGTTCTCAAGATCATAAAGTTCCATCCTCTCCAAGCATGCATATGTATAGTAAGAATGCTTAACCCCTACATGCATCATTTTATACTTGCTTACATAATACTGCCTTCTGTTGCCCATTGTGAGAGATTCTTTTGGAATGTTTCATTATCCTATTTGTCTAAATCACCCTAAGTGAGTTAATTTCGGCAGCAGCGCAATGTCAGCACTAAACACGGCCAGTAGCTCACTTCCAAATCCAGAACATTAAAAATAATCCATCTCGGAGGGCGGAGCTGGCGTCGCGGCGATACGGCGGGCGATCCTGGGCTCCCAGGATGG